TATATATATATATATATATATATAGGGCTGCTGATTAAGTTGATAAGTTGAAACTACTACTACTGTATATTGAATTTAAGGATGTTTAGAAATTGCAGACAAGCCAGAAGTTGTAATTCTGGCAGCATTTTAAGAACTCATAATTCAAATTGCAGGACTTGTAAATAGTTAGAATTGTCTGGCTTACTTCTTCCATTTTTAGAAGGATTGAGGGCTTTTAGGAGGGTATTCTGCTTTCCTTAAACCGGGATTTTTTATATCATTGTAGTGTGAGCTGTATCGTCAGATACACTGAACAACGAAACCGCAGGGTTTCATCGTACAGAGTAAGTTCACAGCTCATCATGTATGTTCTCACACTGTGCGACACGATGCTCTGATGCGATCTGCCTGCTCACACTGTACGTCTAAAAACCACGTTGCACCAGGGAGCCAGCTTTCTATTTTTAACGTTTTTCTTTTTCAAAATAGCTGCGTTGTCTTAGGCAGTATGCAGAGAACTAGCAACCCCATCAACAAAATCATCAACCTGTGAAGAGGAATAAACTAATCTTTTGCACTCTGCAGCACTGCTCAGCGACACAGAGGAGAGAGAAAGTGGAACAGATTCTTTAAAATTTAGAACTGCACTATCTGATAATGATCTGCTAAAGTGGAACCTTCTTTTGGGGGAGGAGAACTCTGATAAAATAATTCTGAAGGTTATGAAAAAGTGGTCAGAAAGGACAGGGTTGTAAGGAAATACTGATATTTCTTCACATTCTATGCCGTATGTCAGCACAAGATCCAAAGTATGAAGATGATAATGTGTGGAACTATTCACATTTATAACAAAGTCAATAGTGTCTAAGATAACATTAAAGGCTCTTAAGCCATCACCTTCAATGTCAGCATGGATGTTAAAATCCCCCACTATGATGACCCTGTCAGTATTTAATACCAAATCAGAAAGGAACTCCAAAAACTCATCTAAAAATTCAGAGTAAGGACCTGGTGGACGATACAAAGTTACAAAAAGAAGGGGTTTTCTTGCTTTGCAATTTGGATGAGGGAAACTAAGGGTTAAATGTTCAAAAGAGTTGTAATTATTAACTGCCTTTGGAGTAATCAGTAAGTCAGGCTGAATCATTGTTGCTACCCCTCCTCCTCGCCCAGAACTTCTGGGTATGTGAAAATTTAAATAACTAGAAGGAGTTGCCTCATTTACAGTATGCTCAGATAGTCCTCTTGCTGCAGCCAAGTTTCTGTAAGGCAACATAAATCAATGTGATTATCACAAATCAAGTCATTGACTAGCATATTTTTTGAGGAAAGAGATCTTATGTTAAACAGACTACATTTAATCGTTTTAACTTTTTCCCCAATTGGAGTTATTTTAATTTTAATTAGATTATCATGATTTACTCCTTTGGGAATCTTTGCTAACTTATTTAATTTTGGTCATGGGCAAGACACTGTCTGGATGGAGTAATGAGTGGGTAACAGTAGAGAAGCTGCAGAGATGTGTGTTAAACTATGACTCTGCTTCCTGGTCTGCACCCTGGGTGGTCAGGGTTTTGGAGGACTAATAAATTTGGCCAGATTCCTAGAAAGAAGAGCTGAACCATCCAAAGTGGGATGGATGCCGTCTCTCCGAATCAGACCAGGCTTTCCCCAAAAGGATTGCCAATTATTAATGTAGCCCACATTGTTTTCAGAATACCACCTAGACAACCAGTGGTTGAATGACGGCATGTGGCTAAACATGTCATCACTAGTCAGATCAGGGAGGGGACCAGAGAAAATTACGGAGACATTGTTTTGGCAAACTTACACACTGAAGCAACACTAATTTTAGTGACCTCCGGTCGGCGTAACCGGGTGTCATTACCGCCAGCGTGAATAACAATCTTAAAAGGATTAAACAACCTAATTGGACTGTGTCAAGTATTTCCCAATTGAACACAAGAAAATGAGATTATAAAATCCATGTCAGTTGTTGAGATTCTATCAAAGTAGTGAATAGCTAAATAGCTAGTAAAGAGAAAAAGAGAAAAGTTTATTTTTTTTCCCCCAATAAGTATTCCAGGAATAGAAACAAAACCCTATTGCATACTATAATGGTAGAGAAAAATAGGGTTGTACAGTAAATCTATGAAAAAATAAGCCTCTTGTTATATCTTGGTCTATCCATCTACTCTGTTTACCTATTGTCTCCATCACTCTTCATTTGTTCAGGTAAATGCTCAATAAAGCGGAAACAAAAGGATCCAGACTCCAGTCCCAGATTTTAGCTCCCGCCAAGCTTGTGGAACCAGCAGCAGTAAATGGCTGTTTTTTTCAGTCTCTCTCCTCTCTCTCTCTTCCACTCTCTCCATTCTGCTGCATGCTGCTCAGCTCTACTGCAGTGGATGATCCTCACCGTGCGCTCACAACTCGTCTCCGTGGAGGAAGGAGACCCGAGAATCTCTCCTTCACTACCCCAGCCGTATCCCCTTCCTCCTAAGCAATCATCTTTCCACCTCCCACATGTCCGTAATCAGATTGTTTGGATGAATGTAGTGGTTGCAGTCATAGGATAGATGAGACAAGAAGACTTTTCCCCTTAAAATCTTCTGCTGTCTGTGGATCGAAAATCTTGTCCTCATAGATGTTTCCTGGTGGTAGAATCAGTGTGAGGTAAGTTCTCCTGCCTAATTTTGTTATTTTTATGCAAAGAATCTTTGTTTCCCCCTTTTCTATATGCGTTAAGATGATCTGATGAGTAGATGTATTTGCTGAAGTTGGGTGCAAAGTTCAAAATAATAATTTAACATGACACAATATGCATTTGTTTTTTATGTTATGATCTGCACTGCTGTGATTTTTGACAGTCTTGTCAAGCATCTGTCAGATGCCAAAGAGCTTTGCAATAAATCCTTTTCTGACTGCACCAAATTAAGAATATTAACTCTTTCGAAGCGTCAGTGCCTTTGCGTTTGGGCATGGTTTTAATGCTACTCTAATTTTAGTGATCCAATAGGAATTAAGCAACAGGGAGTGGTATTTTCTTAAGATTGAAGAAAATAAAGAATTATGTTATGTTTTCTTTATGGGGGAAACCCTGCAGAGGGACCTCACACTTGGAGTAATTCACCAGAGATAAGTTCCGTGAGGTTCTGTGACAGCTTTGTGCATCAAGGGCTCCACTCTGTGTTTGTGTGTGTGAGTGTGCAGCCTTGGTGTGGGCGTTTGCATGCTTCTCATAAAAAGTGGAATAGGTGAGCTCTTGCGTGGGCAGCTATTGCGTTGTTTTGTGAATGAAGTGCCTTTAGTATGCATTCAAGAATACTTTTGTGTTTGTGTATATGTGTTTTTCTTTTTAACTCTATAAACGTTGCTTGTTTCATCTCGGTTTGCAATCACACACGTCAGCAGCATTCTCCCTCTTCTTGGAAACACCTGAGTGCAGCGCAGTGGCAGCTCTTTCAGGTACTAAATTATGTTTCATTGAAAATAGTCACTTCTACACCAGTTTCTATGCTTACTGAGGCTGTGAAGCGCAGAAGCGCTGCAGTCAGTCAGAGGAGATGTTTGAATGTTCATGTTCATTGCTGCACTGCAGGCAGAGTCTCTCCTTCCAAATCTGCAAAGAGGCCAAGCTCTTCTCTGGCACATACAGCAATGGCTTGATTTGAGAGGCTCATCATTTCTTCGTTTACTGTTGTAATCCAAATCAACTTCCACAAGTCTGTTGGATGTATTTCTAGGTGATGGGTTTTGCATCATTTGGGATTATTCTCATACTTGAGCAATTTCGATGCTAATGCCAAACACAGAGTTTGGGTGTCTTGAATTTTATCCTAAGGACTCAGTAAGCTAGCTCCCATTGTTTGAGTGGGTTCATTTCAGTCAGCTAAGCCACATCTTTTAAACTCAGTAAAAACATTGCAAAATGAATAAGAACACCTTGTTAAAGCGTTTCTGATAAGGAATGTGCATTTTCCAAAAACTGACATCTTGTCCAAATTTCCTCAGGGGATCATAATTTTCACAAATATACACAACATATGTTTGAGTGCAAGGGCGATAAAGCTGGCATAAACTTTTAACTTGACCTTTCAGCTCATATTATCTTATTTCATTATATTACACTTTGTAATTCATGTTCAGTCATTTGTTTTATTTTGATTTATTTATTTTGAACTTTATTAAAACAAACATTTTAATTAATTAAATGTGTTAGTAGTAATTTGAACTTACAATTGCATCGTAAAAGGTTTCAGTCTTGGCTACAATGAAAGAGGGATGGGGGCGAAATCAATAATTTTTACTTTTGGGGCTTGCTTAAAAAGTGTATAATTAATTGACTTGTTCAAATGTTGAAAATTGTCAATGACTCATTAGAATGTAATGAATCAACATTTTTTAGCCTACATCAGAGACACCTACCAAAATTTCTTTACGTACTCTCCATAATTTCAAAAAAGAAAATCTAAGCACCACCAATCAATTCAAGTCTATTCATGGTTCTTTTAAATTGCTGCTTCTTATGTTCTCTTCCTGAGCATACAAACTGCATTTCTACATTTCTTGACAAAATTTCTTTTTGTTTACACTTTTGTATGCAAAATGACAAAATAAATCTGTCTAAGTCTAAACTGAAATCTACATTAATTAATACTGGAAATTGGAATAAAAAAGAGAAAGTGTGAGAGTATCCACTCTCCTAAGAATGCTGCTACGCCTCTGCAGTGAAATAAGTCAATTAAGGAGGTTCGGGCTTTTGGTCCAGTTGCCTTCTAGATGGTTCTGGATAATCCCCATTAGGAGGAGACCCAAGGAAAAACCAGAACCTGATGGAGTAATACCGTATTCCACTGTATCTGGGTTGCGGATGAATTGAGATCTCTCAGAGTGATCCAAACTGTGCTACCAGCTTGAACAAATTCTAGTTTGCCCTTTCCAACCAAAAATCCTGATAGTAATAGCAATGGGTAGACATTTATAGATATTTCTTGGGTTTTTTCTCCCATTAGAATTCATGGCTTCAAGAGAGAAAATATTTGTATAGTGCTTTAAAAAACTATTTTCATTGTTTTACCACAACTTTAATCATTAGTTTTGATTTGGATTTCATCTCATTAAAAACACACAAACCAGTACGTAACTGTCAAGTTTCAGAACAAATAAAAGGTGTTTTTAAAGTATTATATAGTTTGTAGAGTGCTCTCATACAGTAAATTTACATTAAAACCACAACCCCATGCCTCCCGCCTCCAATGCAGTCAGTGCAAGCTACTAATGCCTACTGATAGACATTTACAACAAACCAAACCTAAGATCCTATGGAGGCATTATCCCAGTGATGGAGGGGGAAACATAAAACTACCTATACTTATATCAATTCCATATGATGTATTCAATTTTATAGTCTCTAATCTAAAAGAGACGAAGGCAAATTTTTATGTTTTAAAATAAATGTGGGAATTTTTGGAATTAAAAAACAAATTTTAAAAACTATCCTGCATTTGTGTGCAGGGGCTTGATTCTTCTTCTTCAAAAAAAAAGGCTTATAGCCTAATGTTGCGAAACCACCATTAACCCTGAGATGGTGAGTTCAGGGTGATATATTAGTGGACTGCATGACTGATGTGCCTCATGGTTGCTGCTCTTAATCATGATAAGTGTTCAGGTTTGCAGTTTTTGCACGCTTGGGAACATTGATCCTTATAAGGAGCGTCTTAAATTTCACTTAAAACTCTAAAATAAAGGTCAAACATGTGGGTTGCCTAGCTGTTAAATCTTTTGCTAACCTGTGAGATCTCTACAGCACCTGAACAGCTGAAATGGTTCTGGTGAATGAAAACAGACCCATGTTTAGCCATATTGTTTCTATTTCTGATTGATTTTCATGAGACGTGCCAAGGTTTAGATGATGGGTTTACAAGCTAACTTCTTTAAAATTGATCCATGTCTGCTGTATTCCTTTTACTTTCATGATGCTGTTTGTTCAATAATATTCTCTAACAAACCCCCAAGCCTTAAAGGAGCAGCTGAATTTGAACTGAACTTAAATCAAGGACAGATAGGCTCTTCTTGCTAATTAAGATAATTGATCTGTAAAGTAAAATCAAATTAAACTGAAGGTTTTATAAAATACGATGTTAAAACACACATTGAGGACATTGGGGAAAAAAGGTTGGAATAATCCGAGTACATACAATATTTTTTGTATGCTGTGTATGAATTTATGTATCATGATTGTTGCGCTTCACAGTCATACATCACCTCTTATTGGTTGGATACTGTACATAATGCAAAGGAGGTTTATGACTTGATTTGGACAACATGTGAAAAGTTTGAATGGGGTATGAGTCATTTGCAAGATTTTATAAATTGTAATTTCTGCGCTTTATGTCAAAATCTTTCAGTTTTAAAAGATGATATGACATTATGTTTGAAAACTGGACTGAGGTAATAAATTTCGCCTTTGAGGTGTAAGTGACATCGAGAGTCGCATTTGTCTCCCAAAGACACAGCGCTTTAATCTTAGATGATCTACACAGGCCCTGGCTGGTGACCTCATTTATTTTTCTGTCATACCTGAAGTGTTACCCTATCTGTCCATTGGCGTGTGTGGTATTTTAAGACCCGAGTCTACATTAACCCCAGTGACAGCAACAGTCCAGTAGTGTTTTGTCAGAAACCTACTTCTTGGGCTTGTCTCTTTTTGCCCTTCTGCATGCACCAAAATAAATGCACCAAAATAAAGCAGAAAAAAGACATTCTCAAAAAATACTACCATAATTGAATTGGCTAATTCTGATTGAACAGACTTCTTTTCCTGTCACTGCTCATCATGGTCCACATGTTGGTTTGTATCCTACCTACTTCTTTTATTTATGTTCGATGCAGTGCTTAATAAATTAGGCACACACTTTTTTTTCAGTATTTGCCAATGAAGACTGAGAAATGGAAAATAAAAGTGTTTTAACAAAAGTACAGATGTAAAAGTCCTATGTAGGTGGCCTTGGTGGTTCATGCTGGAATTAGGGGTAACGACCTTGATGGCAATCTCCGCGGAAGCTGAAATGCTGAAAAGATAAAAACGCTTTTTAGCTCTAAACAAGGAACATGTGACAGTAATATAAAATCTCCAGTGTCTGATATCGCCTGGTACTAGAAGAAGCAGAAATAGACTTACACACTCATACCTTAGGGCAGCTTAAAAATTAAACTTCATGTATAATTTTGGACTATAAGAAAATAACAGAAGTTTCTGGAAAGAAAATACAAGGCTAAAACAGAAGGATACAGGGCCATGCTTAAAGACATCTTTGTTGTAGGGAAACAGTTACAACGATGCCCATCGTGGAAAAATAATGCCCATGTGTTGTTTAGTATATGCACTTAAAAATCTGTCTGTGGGCCTTGTTTATGAATTAATGCATCAGTGTTGTGGGGTCTGGCGGCCATCAACCACGGGCTCATCTGTTAGAAAAGCCAAAGTTCCTTTTAGTGGTGGCATCACCTCACCTGTACTGCTGGTGCTGGTGTCTCTTATCTTCCTAATGACAATAATCCATAGACTCTCCATAGTGCCCAGGTTAAGCCAGTTTGTTGGGCAATGAAGTTCAGGGATACCACGATTAATATAGAATGTGATCAAATATCACATCCTACTGGAAAAATATAAT